GAATTGGAGGTAAGGTTAGGAAGTATGATTCTGAGAGTTTTTGGAATTTGTAAATTTTTCTCAAAGCATTTACTACTCCTCTAGTAGTAGATCTGTTCGCTACTGAGAGTGAGAATGGTAATAAGCTTCGTATGTCTTCAGATATTAATTTAGAGTTATCAGGGAGTGGTTTGAGAAGTGATTGTTGTGCTTCATCAACAGCCTGCTTGATTTTGTTTGGTTCGATTTTATCTATGTATATAAATCCACGATAGTATCAGATAATTTTGTATATATTAAATTTGTTTATATGTGTGAAGTCAATGTTGAGGAGGAATTGAGTTGCTAGGTAAGTTTTGAGCATTTTGGTAATTGTGTTTCTAGTATTACAATCTGTAAAATTAATATCATGAAGTTTTTTATAGTTGTTAATAGTGTTGGTTTGTAGGTTTTGAAATTCTTTTTGGTGAGCTGAAGTAGAATTTTTGTTGTGAGTAAAGGTGGTAAAGAAACTTGTATCAAGGTGTTTGAATTTGAGAGAGATAGCAGGTAGGATAAGATTTTGGATTGGTTTGGTTTGTAGTTTGTAAGTAGTGAGTTCTTGGATGCCTTCAGATGTTTCTAAAGCTATAGCTATACATTGGATAGGCCATAGTGATTGGCCAAAAAGAGTATGTTGTTTTTCATTTATATTATTGATGAGCATGTTAGCCTATTTATCGCTATCATTAGTTATGGTTTTGTGAATATTATTAGGGTTAGAACTAAGATATAGGTTTTGGGTTGCTTTAGCATATAATAATATCTTTGTTGGTAGAACATTAGCTGGTGTCTGTATATCTAGGTTTGATGATACTTCATCTATTATGGTATCATGTGTACGGTAGGTGGAAGATAATATAGGTCACTCAATGAGTTCATATTCAGTTTGGTCTGCTCAAGATTAGTTTGGAGAGTCTGTTGTATTACTGAGTTTGGCATCTATCAGTGTGTTTGTATTTGTATTTTGTGTATTATTATCATTATTAGAATCAGAATTAGTTTCTATTTTGGTCTGAGTTTCAATAAGTTGTATAGTACTAGTCTCTATGTGTAATATGTTATTGGTTTCAGGAGAAGGAGCAAGAGTATTTGGTGTAGTTGTTGTGGGCATAGTATTAAAGAATACAGCTATATTATATGGTATAATAGGAAGTGCGAAGTTTTGTTTATGGACATTAGTTTCAAGGTAGCAGTTTTTTGTATTTTGATATGTTTGAATAAGTGATGATGATTGGATTATGTTAGTTGTAATATTAATGACAGTAATATTAATTGCATTATTAGATAATTGGTAAGATTAAAAAGTAAAGTAGAGTCACTGTTAGAGGTTGTATAAATCCAATATTTTGGGTGGAGAGTAACATTTTCAATAATAGTTGTTTTGTAGTATTCTATAGTGTAGAGTTGTTGTTCGTTTGAGGAGGGTATACTAAAAGTGATTTTGTAAGTAAGGTTAGTTGCATTAATAGTAGTTAGATTGAGAATTTCTTTTTGGTATTTGTGTTAGATTTGTATATCTTCAGTATTAGATGTAGTTATTAACATTGTTATAGCATTAGTATCACGAGTATTGTTGTTGTTGTTGTTGTTGTTGTTGTTATCATTGTTATTGTTTGTTGTATTAGTAGAGTTGGAAGAAGTTGCTATAGTAATATTTTTGGAAAGGCAATGCCTCTTCTCAGTTTTTTCTGTATCTTTAAGCATAGTGAATTTGTTATTAGTTATTTGTATTATTGGTTTGTTGAAAGGAATTAGCTTCCTTTTATTTAAAATCCTTCCTAGATGAAGATTTTCTTTGTTTTGTATTTTCTTTTATTTTCTATTTTGCGTAGTATTGTTGTGGTGAGTTATGGGAAAGAGTTTTTTTCTAAAGTAACTCTATTAGTAATCTATTTATTAAATATGAAATTAATTATAAATTAAATACTTACTTTTTGATGAAAATATGTGTAGTTCTTTATATTTTATTTTAAAAACATTATTTTTACTAGGATGATAATTTTTACTTTCATTAGAGTTCAGACTTGCTTCACTTTTATCGAGATTCTGATTTGCTTCACTTTCATAGGAATTCTGATTTGCTTCACTTTTATAGAAGTTCTCATTTGTTTCACTTTCCCAAAATCCTAATCTACTTTTAGTATTTTATCTATTTTATGCGAAATTTCATTCACAAATTCTATATCTTCTTTGGCATCAATTTTATTATAATAAAATTATTTTCAACTATTATCTTAATATGTTATTTCTATTTCATTTTCTAAAAATTCAACATATTTAATATGATTGTTTATATTGAATATAACTGTTAGATACAATGAACATATCAAATTATTATTAATGTAATCTAAAAAATTAAATAAAATTTAAAAAATTAAAAAATTAAAAAAAATTTAAAAAATTAAAAAAAAAAAACTATTTTTAAAACAATAATTAATTAATTTTAATTAACAAAATACGAGTTCAGATTTTGTTAATCTATTATAGAATTATCTAACTTTAATAGGTATAGTTTATATTTATAATTTTTACACAAATTTTTTTTATTAACATAATAGATTAACAAAATCCGAACTCGTATTTTACTAATTATATATATAGCTAATTTTACTGTTAATTAACAAAATCTGAACTCAGATTTTGTTAATTACTATATATAAAATTATATTAAGTAATTAATTACTTAATATAATTCTATAAATAATAATTAACAAAATCTGAACTTGGATTTTGTTAACATTAATTAAAATCAAAAATAATATTTATGCATATTTAATAAAAGTTGTTACATATACATAGATCTATAGAAAAATTAAAGAAAAAAGCAGGTATTTATATAATATTTAATCTTTAAACTTTAAATTTAATATACATAATAAGGTTATATGTAATTTAAACTTTCAAATTTAAATTTAATTTAAACTTTTAAATACATAACCTAATATGTAATTACAAATATTTTAAGCTTATGTATAGTCATAATGATTTCAATAAATACATCATTTTACTATTTTTTTTTTTTTTTTTTTTTTTTGTATATTATAGTATTGTTCTAAAGTAGAGATTGTACCTGGCAAAAATTTTAGCTTCAGACGAAAGACAAAATTCCTGATGAAAGACAAAATATCTGGCAAAAGATAAAACTCTAGAAAAATAAAAGCCCTGAAACTTTAGTAAAAAATGAAGCTCTAATGGCTGAGCTAGATTAGTAAACAAAAACTTTTTTTTATGATATTATGTTAATATATAATGGCTTAGAAGTAAAATTGTATACTATATTTCTATAAAATAATGTCTTGGGTATTATTTAGAGATCTGTAATTTAGAGAGAATTGATAATTAATTTAGTCGAATACAAAATATGTTTTTATTTTTTTTTTTTAAAAAAAACTTTGGTTAAATTAAATATTAGCTCTTTATATGCCTCTAAATAATTCCCCTTGAGTTACTTATCAGGTTACTAAATAAATATGTACTAGTGTGACAGATAAAAATAGTTATTTTTATATTGTTATAAGTAATTCAGTTAGTTACCATCAAATATTATAGGTAATTCGTATACTTTCTTTAAGGTTTTAATAAAGACGTGACATTAGTGATTTGAAGAATAGTAATTCGATAATTATGATCAACCTTATATGCCCCTACCTTGTACATAAGAGTCATTACCAACCTCTAATATTATAACATTCTTTAAATAGTTTTTTTAATTCTTATATACAACAGGAGAAAGGCTTTAATATCATCCTTTAAATAGTTTTTTTAATTTTTATATGCAACGAGAGAAGGGCTTTGCTATCATAGAGGCTTAGAATTCTTGGATCGGCATCTATTAATTGTTCCATCAACGATCCCTTAAGTCTTCTAAGCCTATAACAATCTAATCTCATTTCTGGAGACACGTTTTATTAGCTTCATCACATTTTATGGAAATATTACTTTTTGACTGTGATACCAGATCACACTTCAGATTATGACTCGAGTAGCCCAGCAATAATTATAGACAATATATCAAGCTAAGAAATAGCTTCTCAATTTCTTTTATTCTTAAAAAAAGGTCTACATGTTATAACACCTAATAAAAAGACTCTTAGTAGTGAAGCAACATTATATAAAGAAATCATCGAAGAAGCAAAAAAGAATAAGAAGCTCTTTTTTAATGAGAGTACAGTTGGTACTAGTTTACCAATTATTAGTACATTAAAAGATTTGGTTAGAACTAAAGATAAAATTAATAGAATAGAAGGTATATTTTCAGAAATATTAAGTTATATTTTTAATGAATTCTCAAAATCAGATATTGATAATGAGTAAAAGTTTTTTGAAATTGTTACTGTTGTAAAAAATAATGGCTACACAGTAAAATTATTGATTAATTTCAAATTGTCTGAATCTATTTGATTTAAAAAAAATTTTTTATTTATTCTTTATATTTAATATTTATTAGGAACCTAATCCACGTGATGATTTGAATAGGTTAGATGTTGCTCGTAAAGTAATGTTTATCATTTTAAATTAAATACATATTTTTGATAATATACAAAATATTTACAATTATAATTAAAAATTATTAGGTCATAATTCTTGGTAGAATGACTGGGATAAACCTATCTCTTGATATATTACCTTTAGAAAATATTGTACTTGAACCTTTACATAACTTGACTACATCTTCTAAATTTTTGTCAAGATTATCAGAATTTAATTAACATTTTGATAATTTAAAACAAATAGCAAAAATAACAACTAGGTTTTGAGATATATTGGTATAATAGATTCTGTTTGTGATGAAAGTAGTATTAAGTTGATTAGGTGTATTATCTTTTCTCGTAATATTAATATTAATCTATAATAAATTTATACTTAAAACAATCTTTAATCTATTACAGTTTATGGTATTTGCAATACTTAAAGATAGTGATAATATGATTGCATTCACTACCCAGAGGTTTTCCAATCCTTTAATCATTCAAGGAGCTAGAGCTAGGTAACTCAATTAATTTGGTTACACTTAAACAAAAGGTATACTTTCTGAATTTTTATATGGTAAAAAATCAGTACACTAATGCTAATAAAACTTTATTATCATATATAACCTTTTGTACCTAACTAAAACTACAGTTACGCCTATTACCCAATGACTTTTAATTCCTTATAATTTATTCAGCTCACAAGTATTAACTTACCTTGAATCTCTGAATATTAGATATTTCAGTACTCAGAGCAATAATTATGAAAATACCATGTTACCTTCTGGGTATGTTAATCTCTGAATTCTTTTGTACAGGAAAATTAATGTTTCCTAGGATTTTTTTTTTTTTTTTTTTTACTTTTTTTTGTAGAATGTCACATTTTTAAAAATTATTTAAATACTATAAAGAAATCGTCTAGTGAGACTGGTTCAGATAAAGCTCTTCTGAACGTATGGTTACATGAAAATTCAGTACGTAATATTTGTCTTTAATCCTAAGCTAGTAGTTGACAGAGGTGAGAATTGGTTTAATCTGAATTTAGTGCTATTATTACTTCAGATGACCAGTAGGTAAGTTGTGGATATCGACATTATGACTTAGAGAGTTAAAGTATAGTTTTGCAACAAGAATGCAGTACATTAGGTCAACAAAATTATATTGCGTGAATAAAGCATAATCAAATAAGAGAAAAATCATGAGAAACAAAAGTATTTTATTGTAAATGCATTGATCAATAATTTATTCTTCTTATTAACACAATTATAGTGGTCATGTTTATTGATATTGAGTTTAATCAGAAGAGTAAAATTTACATAAAGATGATTTATTAACATAAATACCTATTTATAAATACTTAACTCTAAATACTTATTTACAATT